TTATAACCCCGAGCTGACAAAGAGATATGGTNCAACAATAGCATGGCTATGACAATAGGTATGCTCCCCATAGAAACATTATANNNCAATGCAATATTTGAAGGCCCNCAATAGAGCATTTGCAATATAGGATCAACATGTTCAAGTGACAAGCATGACTTGCCTTGCTCTGCTGCTGGAGGAACCTCGGCGACTGATTGCGAAGTACACCGGAGCGTCAGAGGAACCGGAATCTAGCGACATACAAGACAAACATTGCAAACAGGCTAAAGACTACTGAAACAGGGAACAAAACAATTTTTAATGGATTCTACACATTTTTCTTGATTTACTGAGACTTGAATGGGCTTAAACGGAGCTCGGATGAATTAGTTATGAATTTTAGAAGATTCACTGTGTTTATTACTATAAAAGAAAAACCTTAAATTTATTGCGCAATAAATCCCAGGGCTGACGTCAGCACGGGGGGAGAAGGCGCGGCGCCGACATGCGGGGCCCACCGGTCAGCGGCTCGGGAGAGGGAGGAAAGGGGCGCCGGCAAGTGGGCCCACTCGGCAGCGACTCAAGGGGGGAACGGTTCACCGTGGACCGGGACCACGCGGGTGGTCCACCGCCGGTCCACGGGACCGACGGCCCAGATCGCCCTCGGGGTTGATCGGACGGGCAGCGGCGACCCGGCTCGGCTTGGCTCAAGGCCGGCCCACCGGCCACGGCGATGGCGACGGCGCGCGCGCGCGAACGCGTTGCCGGCGACGGCAACCGGTGGCGGAGGCGACGGCGCAAAGGCGACGCGAAGGCGGCGGCACTAAGTGGCGGCTAGGAAGGAGAGGGAGGGGAATAGATGGGAGAGGAAGCCTCACCGAGGGTGGCCGCGCGGAGGAAGACGACGACGAACGGTGACGGCAAGCCACGGGAGGACGACGGCAACCGGCGGACGGGCTTCTGGGTGCCCTAAGGAAGGAAGAGAGAGAGATTAGAGAGAGGGAGATGAACCACGGCGACCGGCATTCATGGCCGAAGGCGGCGGTAGAGGTTGAACTCACCGGAGCGCGAGGGGATGCGAATTCCGGCGACGAACACTCAACGGTAAAGGGGCGGCCGGGGTGGAGCTTAGCCTCGCGAACCTGACGGCGGCGACGTGCGCGGTGCGGCGGCGACCCTAGCGGCGGCTAGCGGCGGCCGGAGTAACGGAAACGGCGGCGGCGGGTGGTTGCACGTCGCGGGAGCGATGGGGAGCACAAGGGAGTTCGGCGAAATGGGGAAAAAGCGAGAGGGGGCGACGGGGAAGCCTTAATAGGGGAGGGGAGCCCCGGACGTGTCCGGTAGGGTCGAGATTTCGCCGGCCAACGTGAGGAGTGGGGGAGGAGAGAGAGGCAGGATTCGAAAATCGAATCCCGGCCATCTTGGGCGCGGGCGCGGGCGCGAGAGAGGGGGAAGTAGGTGCGGGAGATGCGGCGCACGCGCGGGCGTGGCTGACGTGGCCCGGAGAAGGCGGAGGCGTGGACGCGGCGGCGGTTGCGGGCGCGGCGGCGCCGGCTGGAGGAAGGAGACGGACCCGACAGGTGGGGCTCACCTGTCGGCGTCCCGGGGAGAGAGGGAGGGGCGGCTTGGGCCGGCCCACAAGGAGGAGGGCGCGCGCGACGGGGTGGACTGGGCTGACGGCCCAAGAAGAGGAAAAGGAGGGAAAAGGAAAAAAAAAGAAAAGGAGGAAAAGAATTTCCCTGGGATTTAAAATATTGCATGCTCGATTTTAAATGGTTAAAATTATTTCGAGAGCTCTGAAAATTCCACTAAAAATCTTGTTAGTGAATTTCGACATGTAGAACTCAAGAAAAATTCCACATGCCAATTCCGATTATTATTTGCATTGATTTAATAGGGTTTACTCTTGCTTTGCACCGGTATTTTCTTAGGGTCTCTTATTAATTCAATTTTAGGCTTAGGAGGAGAACTTCAGGGTGTGACAATGAGCCTGATTTTTGTTGGTTCAATCGGTCTACCGGTTCTAGGCATTCTCCCTTTTGTTTTTTTTAAAGGAAAAGGCTTACGTACTAACTTTTTCTTATTAAATTCTTATTAACACTGATGTGTCATGCTATGAGTGCACCTAGAATTTTTGTAACTTCCATCTACTTAAATCAAGCGGTTGCTACTTGCCCTTTTCCCGAGCTCCAGCAGGCCGCGGCCATCAACCCCAACCCGCCCCCCTTCGCGCGCGCCAACCACCTCGACGGCTCGCCCCCCTTGCTCTCCTCAAAATTCTGTTAGACGATTGGGCTGCTCATGCGAGGCGGCATGCGGCGATTCCGATCCACGATCGTCGTCATCGCTGAGGACGATCATGGGGCGGGAGACGGATTCCCGGAGGACGATCTGGGGGCGGGAGACGGATTCATGGAGGATGATCTGAAGGCGGCGGAGCAGTTGATGCAGCTCCGATGTAGCGGCGGTTGGCAGGAGGAACAGGCCGACGACGACGACGACGACGGCGGCGACTGGTGGGGCTGGAAAAGGAAGCGCCCGCGGTACCGGTCGCTCTCGGAGCTCTAGGCGAAGGACGGCGGCAGCAAGCGGCGGAAGAAGACTAAGAAGGGAGAAGATATTGGGGAAGAAGCAGCGTCAGAGTATTAATTTGTGAACACGCGGTAAGCCTTTACATAAATAAATTCTGGAGAACTCCCTCTAATAATCTCGTCGTAATTTGTAAACCCGTAATGGAGAACTCCCTCTTTTTTTTTTGAGAAGGGTGAACTCCCTCTAATAATCTGAATCTCGTTGTAATTTGTAAACCCGTAATTTTATAATCCGTGTTGTATAATTGTATTAAGATTAGGAGGTTGGAAACTTGTAATGGAACCCAACGTGGAAGACAAATAAATCGGAGGTTATGGTGTTAATTTTACCGGAATTGCTAATTTTATTAGCTTTATGTTTGTATGTAGCTAGGGTTTCTTTTTTTGTGCGTGCAAATTGGGATTTTATCTTTGCCTTCCAAATTTTCATCTCTTAAGAAACTCAGATAACCAAATACATAAGAGAAGCGATCTGTTTACCATATTATCCTGTCCGGAGGTGCACCAGTTGTCCAAGTAGCACACATTTTGCTATGCGCAAAACCACTAATCAGTCCAGATCTCTAGGAGTAAAATTCTGTCAAGATCTGTACGTGGTGAAGGGGCTGTTCACTTCGACGTCATTTTCAACATTACCAAATTTTGGTAAAGTTGCCAAAAAAGTGGCTATATTTAGTTTGCTGCCAAATTTTGGTAACTATATAAGAAATTCTGCCAAAATTTTGGCATAGTTGTCAAAATTTTGGCAATGCTAAAATTTGGTAAGGTTTTTTTTCATCAAAGTGAACAGGCCCGAAATGTCCTTTCTTTCTCTAGAACAATTAATGAAATATCCTTTCGTGCAGTAGCAGAAGTGATGAAATGATGAGGAAATTAATCGCACCATCCTCACCTAGCTCATTGTGCCCTTGCTCATAGGACACTAATTTCAGACTTTCATTTCATGCCGCAATACCAAACCATGAAACCAGCATTCCTAATTAACCACACTGCTATAATAAATCAATCATTTTTTTCTCCTCAGTTTTTATCCATCTTCGATTTGTCAGCGCAAAACTTATCATGTGGACTAGTGCATCTCTTTGCCAGTTGCTGATAGGTTGTCCCATAATACCGGTGCATTTCTTCTGAGTTTTGGAAGTTTATGATGTCTGTAACTGCTGCTTGTGGAGCCGGTTTGAGTCAGTACAGTAGGTTTAGATTGGAGTTCGGGTAGTCTCGTAATTGTAGTTTCAAACTCTTCATTGTAGTTTCAAACTCTTCCTTTTCTTAGCAGCTGAAAGAGAGTGAGACGGCACTATCTAAAGTGATTAACAGCTACTGGAAGATAGTGAAAAAAGAGGTCGGAGTTCTGGTAGTTGCATACTTGCAGTCCTATTTTGTGAATTATTGGTTGTAGTTGCTTCCCTTATTGGTTACTGACTTCCTGATTTGTCAACAAATCAAACTTAATAAGATAAGCTGAATTACATATCTACCTACAGACCTTCTATATTTCCAGCTTTGCTGCATGCAGACATGAATGCTCATGCTCCAGTGCAACATTATATCTACGATACTTCTTTTTATTATGTACTACCTCCGTTTCAGGTTATAGACTTTCTAGCATTGCCTCTATATGAATGTGGACAATGCTAGAAGTCTTATAATATAAAACAGAGGAAATAGATTTTCTCTCATGGGAACTTTAGTTTTGAAACTTTATCTCTTCTCAGATTCTTGTGTGTTTTCTGTAGTGTATTTATCTTTGTTATTTTTCTGTGTTTTAGAATGCTCTATTTTGCATATATATATATATATATTTCTACTCTCTTGTTTTACAATTTATATATAATGACTGTATTGTCATTTATAAGGTACTTCCTCCGTTTCACAATGTAAATGTAAGACTTACATTGTGAAACGGAGGGAGTACGGTATAAGGAGGTGTTTTTTTCCCGTATAAGCTTTAATATCATTTGCTTCAAATGTAGTACTCCGTACATTTCAGTATGAATAGTAAATCTTCTCCTACGTACTGGAGTAGTAAAGAAGCCTTCAAGTCAATCTTCCAAAAGCCTTTTGGCCCAAAAGAGTATCACCCTGGTTACTGGGCACTATACTGTGTTGGGATTTCGGTATTACCGGTTTTGTAAATCAAGGTATACGTTACATGTATTGTGATTTAGGGACGAATTTTAAACTAGCACAAGATAAAGAACATAAAATGAACTTATTCCTTAATTTATCGTGTAATGGACCGATGATCTCGACTCAGGTGGCCCATTGAAGAATAGAAGTCTGATGAGTCGCCTGGCCTCCTCGGCTCCTCGCACACGGCCTAGAAAACAAATAAAAAGCCCAGCCTAAGTTTACCCTGACAGATGGGCCCCACCGACCCCCCGAGCCCTTATCCCATCGTGGAAACCTGCGACGTATGCGGTCCACGGCACGTCCAGGTCAGAGACTCAGAAACAACGGTCGCCGTCGCCGCCGCCGCATGTTTTAAGGCCGGATTTCTCCCACCGACAGCCTGGGCCCACGCACCCCCCGAGAGAGGGGTGGGCCCCGCGTCTCCACCTCCCGGAGCCAATGGCAACCCAAGCCGCCGGCTCGGTCGGTCGCCCCGCCGGCGTTCCTCCTCCCCACCAGCTCAGCCCTCAGCCACCAACCACGCGCGCGCGCCGCCGTCTCGTCTCCGGTCCCCTCGGCGCGCGACCACCCAACCACCTCGACCCTCGGCGGCGCGCAAGGGCGGCGGCGGCGGCGGCAGGCGGCTGACCGCGAATGGAGCTCCTCCCGCGTGTGGGTGTGGCCGCCCCCGGTCCCGGACGCGGCGGCGCGTCGCCGTCCCCGACGCGCCGTCATCGCGCGCCCTCTCACCCCGTGAGCACCTCTTCCGCGAGAGCGCGAGATTGATCGGTGGATGATGCTAGGGGCTACAGTCAGCGGGAGTGGAAGGGCACGGTGTGTTCGATACGGTGCTAATGGTTGACGCTGCCTGCAGATTCTGAAGCGATCGGCGGCGGTTTGCGGCGCAGTCGCCGTCTGCAGAGGAGGGGCTGTCGCCAGGAGGAGCCGGTGGTCAACTCTGGTGACCGCAGCATATTAGTAAGCATGACAAACTGAGTTCTATCACGGTTTACCTTTTTTTTTTCGCTGTACTGTTACAGTCTTAGTGGTTAGAACAGGAAAAAGGTTTCAAATCCTGTAGAAGGATATTGATTCACACTGTGCTTGTCCTGCTACTCAAGACAAGATTAGGCGAGACTTATATGCGGGTTAACGAAAAGAGGCTGTTGAATCCAGTCCACTATTAGCTTGATGGAACATTTAGGATTTGACAGTCCATCTATTCAGGTGCGCTCCGATTAGCATTCGGGTGTCCCATTGACATGTGGGCGGAAAAAGAGGAATCATAACGGCTAAACAATTGTAGCAAACAGTTTCTGAACTTGTTGTCCTTTGCCTGACCCATCATCACATTACGGGCAGTGCCTGTTTTTGTTGGATTATCTGTTCATTGTGAGCTTCATGCTTCAGCACAGGAACTGCTGAACTGGTCGACTTTAACTGGGAAACTCTTGGGTTTCAACCCGTGCCGACTGACTTTATGTATGTGATGAGATGTTCCGAGGAAGGGGTGTTCACCAAGGGTGAATTGGTGCCATATGGGCCAATAGAACTGAACCCAGCAGCTGGAGTGTTGAATTATGGTCAGGTTAGTTGAGCTCTTAATTCTACCTTGAAGAATCACTATCTGATTGTTGAGCAGAGCTGTACTAAATGAGCCTTGTCCATTTATTCTGCTCCATTTTGTTTGAAAAGCTCTAATGCACTTGTAAAATTTCTATAGGGTTTACTTGAAGGTCTGCGAGCACATAGAAAAGAGGATGGATCAGTCCTTCTATTTCGTCCTGATGAAAATGCTTTACGGATGAGAGTAGGCGCAGACCGGTTATGTATGCCTGCACCAAGTGTAGAGCAGTTCCTAGAAGCTATAAAGCTAACAATTTTAGCAAACAAGCGCTGGGTAAGGACATTTTGTTTCTTCAACAGTGATAGGCGCCGTGGTGCGCACATCTTTCTCATGAGCTATGCGCTCCGTTGCAGGTACCCCCTACTGGCAAAGGTTCTTTATATATCAGACCGCTGCTGATTGGAAGTGGGGCTATCCTCGGTGTTGCACCAGCCCCAGAGTACACATTTGTTGTCTTTGCTTGCCCAGTTGGGCACTATTTTAAGGTTGGCAGCGTTGACTTAACTTTCCTGCATATTCATTTTATCTGGTTATAGTTGCAAGATTACTGTCTTGTTTACATTCAGGATGGCTTATCTCCAATCAGCTTGTTAACCGAGGAAGAATATCAGTGTGCGGCACCAGGTGGAACTGGTGATATAAAGACTATCGGAAATTATGCTTCAGTAATTACCTTTTCTTTTCTACAAGCTGAGTCTCTACTTTATCATCTGATTCCTCATAGAGGACACAGTACACTATTCCATATCTTTACTCTACGGGCATGGTTCTCCCAATTTGAGTTTGGCTGCCAATGTATATTTTTATGTCTGAAATCAAATTCTTGTTCTTCATTTTCATTTGACATCTGTATACAGGCCGTTTATGCTAAAGAAAGAGCTAAGGAGAGAGGTCATTCTGATGTTCTTTACTTGGATCCAGTGCATAAAAAGTTTGTTGAGGAACTTTCGTCCTGTAATATATTCATGGTGAAGGTATGTGTACATATGTACTGGATTTGTTCAAATTGACTTCCTTTGCAAGTCTATCTAGGAAAATACCAGTGTAAAGCAGTTCCAAGTATAGCTCAATGATGTCTCTTGCAATGATGTTGTAACTTGTCAGCATACTTTTTGGATTTCGTTGAACGGGCTGAATAATTTTATGGCACATAAATTATCATTTGATAGACATGGCATTAGCTTATCTTCAAACTTGTTAGGAGTAGCAAGGAATGATGTGTTAAGTTCAGAATCCTCCAAATTATCAGATGCTACATTGTCAGATAATTTTTATATTACTATATTTTGTTCTGAGAGCTAAACAATGTAGCATTGCCTTTTTGCTGGCAGGACAACATTATTTCTACTCCACTATTAACGGGAACAGTTCTTCCTGGCATCACAAGAAGAAGTATAATTGAATACGCCCGTAGCCTTGGATTTCAGGTAACCTAAACATGAATGCCCATCCTCTGCTAACACTGCCTCTGTAACCATGGTTCAGAATATTTGTATCTTGGAAGTTGGAACATTCTGCACACCACCTTTTCTTTCCATATTGGCCAAAATATTCAGACTTGTTTGAAATTTTTGAAACTTCGTTCAGAATTCAAATGTGTTTTGAAAGATCTTGATGAGATCTCAGAAGGTCCTGAAATTTTTTGAGATCTCGAGGGTCCTGAATTTTATTGAAACTCAAGCATGGAAACTGGTGTCAACAATATGAGATATGAACCCAATCTTGTTCGCTGATATATTTTTTTTCAGGTTGAAGAGTGTCTTATTACAATAGATGAGTTGCTTGACGCTGATGAAGTTTTCTGTACTGGAACTTCTGTGGTACTATCCTCTGTTGGTTGCATAGTGTACCAGGGGAGAAGGTAAGTACTTCAGTAATTCACAACCTCAGCCTTTGAAGATATTCTAGCTGGAATCTTTGAGATGTTGAATTAATCATAAGAGCTTGTGAAGCTAGTAGACATTCCATACAGTGAAAATGTACACCTGTAGTACTATCAACAGAGTACAATGTCGTCTCATAAAAGGAAAAAAAAAGAGTAAAGTAACCGGTAGCATATTTCATGGGGACTGTGTTAGTATACCAGTTTCACTAAATGGAAAAACTTAGCATATGTATCCACCAAATTATTCTCCTATTTTTCTTTATCAGTGATCCATGTCATACAAATTCTGCAAATACGAACAAATGCAGCATTGAGAAAGGGCTCCTCCGTTCTATTAAATAATTGTTACTCTATATTAAAAAAAAAATCAGTTCTCATGCATCCGCTATCCATTACAGAGTGGAGTATGGGAACCAGAAGTTCAGAACTGTGTCTCAGCAACTCTATTCAGCACTTACGGCTATCCAGAAAGGCCTCGTGGAGGACAGTATGGGATGGACTGTGCAACTGAATTAGTAGCCTGGTCGTTATGGACGGTCTTAAGGTTCTTCCTGTCAAATAGTGCTTTCTTGTTTGAAGCAGCAATAAAGAAATTCACCGAATTTTCTCATTTCAGGCAGTATAGAATAGAGAATCACCTCTTGTGCATATGCAGGTACACACAGTATACAAATAATCTGGGGCCCAGAGATAGAGAAGCATGAACTGTTTCTTCTGACTCTATTACCTTTCTTACTGACCATACTTCCAGTGTAAATAAGTGCTCCTTGCTTATCCGAGGCCATATTCCGTGCATCAATTCGGCCCATAACTTTGTCGTCAGCTTGTCTCATGTGTATTCAGGACAAAATTATTGGCACTATTTATTGGACAATTAGGTGTGTGCGTATGGAACATTGCTTGATTATATTTTGTCAGGTGGCATCACGGCAGGCATGAAACCATGCTTGCCAAGTTGCCGATAATGAATTTAATGACTACAGCTCACTTGCACATTTTGCAACAGCATGCCATGCACTGTTACTCTGAAAAAGAAAACCCTACAATACCAGTCTATTTCCCCCCTGATTCCTTGCCCTTTTGGTTAGTTTAGTTTGAGAGTTACTATCTCATCATGAGCAAGACATGAAAAAAAGCTGGAAAGAATTAATTTATATGTACTCACTGCAGCTCTAGATAACCACTGCCGAACCGTTCGCAAGGATACATCATGCCATAAGACAAAATTAGCTCACCTGCTGCGTGCTCTTGACTTGTGAAAGGAGATTGGCAGTTGCATGGGGTCGGTTTGGACTTACATACTGCAAGTCAGCCAAGCCTGCAACGCTAACACCCTAACAACCAGTTCCACTCTTAAGCACGGAAATACAGATGGTGACAATCTTGTCCTTGGTAATGGCCGGCTGGTGAGATGTTCATTTCCAAAGTACAGATTAACGGAGGGGAAATTTCCTACCCAGATAGGTGCGTGACCTTGTAGCGTAAACATTGGCTCACGGGCAAGGGGCAACATCACAAAGCCACTTTTAGATTATTCTTTGTAATAAATAGGTAAGAATATTTTTTAGGGAATACCGTTCGGCTAGTTCTATTGATATGATTATATCGTTTATCAACATATATACTTATGATAAAGCCAGAGGGTTCACTTACCCAAATACATGAATTTTCAGAAATAAACAGGTAAGAGTTTGCAAACAAGTTAGCCTAGGATGTATTTGCAACCTCTTCTCCCAACCCATCTTCCTCGTTTTCTGCGCGCATCCTTTTCAAACTGTTAAACGATGTGTTTTTTTAAAAAAATTTCTATACGAGAGTTGCTTAAAAAATTAAATTAATCTATTTTTTTTTAAAAATTAGCTAATACATAATTAATCATGCGCTAATGGACCGCTCCGTTTTTCGTGCGGAGGGAAAAGTTCCCATCGAGCTCATGCGAACATAGCCTTAGTATTTTTTTTAATCATGCTGTAGTTTTGTAATTTGCGGTTATATGTTCATCATGTAACAACCGGTTGTAAAGTAAATACCGGAATGAAATTTATTATAAAAACAAATTAGCCTTGTGTTCTCACCGATCAAGCATGCGTTCGTGGAGGAGGAAGAAACGTCGCACGAAAGCATAATGATACGAGAAGGAAATTTTATGCAATTCCGGGTTGTTGAGTCGAGTGATGGATGGATTGAATAACAACGACACGACATCACGATCGCATTTCGTGTGCTGTTGCATCGGCGTGGTTGGGAGCCGCGATGTGAACCGATCGTCTACCGGAGAGACACCGGCCGCGGCCGTCGCCGTCGCACGCTCGCACTCCGGCACGGAAGGCTTCGTTTCCTTCGCGTGGGTTCGTCTGCTTCTGCATGCAACAGCGGAACGGCACGCGAACGTACAGTGACCGGTGGCCACGAAGCCGGCGTATTTGTCTATGCGCCACGCCACGCATGCATTCCACGGAGGAAATTCCTGACCTGATGTAAGCTGCTGTGTATGATATGCATCATCCATCACGCACTTGCTGATTCCGCTGCTCGTTCCTATTTTATTCCGGCTTACGCCTGACAAAAGCCCCTGAACAGAAATTCAGAACATACTGAACAATCACACCGCGGTGTCATATACTGTCATCACTATATAGCATGTGTGTACTTTGAAAGAAAAATGATATGTATGCACCAACTAATATAGTACGTTGTAATTATTCTAGTTGGATGCAACCACACGGAACAAAATATTGCACCAGGCGTCGATCTCTGACGAAATTTGTCAATGAATTTAGAAGACGAATAATTCAAGGCGGGCATGGTATACAAAACCGACCGAACTTCACGGCTTAGGAACACAAGCAACAAACAACTCGGTTTCTCAGTCAAGTTTGAAAGAAAATTCTTACATTTCTGACAGAATTTGATCGAATTTCACTGGTAGTCAACCGGTTTTGTGTGTGGGTGAGGGGTGGTGGTGTTGGGGGTTGACACTGGCCGGGGAGGTTGAAGCGTCCATGGCGGCACGCGAGAGACGCGAAAACCACCAGCCGACACGAGTGCACACACGAAAACGACGGCTACTGGCAGTCCAGAGAACGTCGCCCTGAACCAGTACATCCTGCTCTCATCAGATGGCTGATCGGACGGCTCTCTGATCTCCTCGCTACTTCCTCCGTTTCATATTATAAGACTTTCTAACATTGTCCATATTCATATAGATGTTAATGAATCTAGACATATCTATATGAATGTGGATAATGCTAAAAAGTCTTATAACCTGAATCTGGTACATTTTTCTTCCCGTCTCTGTCACCGAGCTAAATGTATGTTCCTTTCAGATTTACACGTACATGTATCGGTTTTGCAATTGTGTGTGTAATACGAGGACCATTGTTTGTTTTCGTTTGGGTAGACAGCTGAACAAACCGAAAAAAAATGGACGCTACTGTAGTTGGAAGAGACCCAATAATTGAGCGATGTTGTCTCTGAGACATGCCATGGAAATGTTTAGTCGTTTGTTATTCATCCTAATCCAACCGATTTCCGGCGAATCTTCTATTAGTTGGTTTGTCACAATCCTTGAAATTAAAGAATTGGATATGACGGCTGTTGCTGTTGTGCAGTAATGCCGGAAAAATATTTCTAGTGGCCACTCGTTTCAAACTTCTAATTTTCTTCTTTTTTTAAAAAAAAAAAATCAATGACTTCCAACGCTGCCTTCCTGTCGGCAGGCTTCAAATGTTGTTAATCCACGTACATGTACGCACCATTTCAAACCGGGCAACAATTAAAGTTGATATAATCTCGAAAGGATAACAAGATATGGAACAGGGAATAGAATATTTATCTATTCTAAAAGTGTTCATTGCAATCAGGTGTAGCCATATATGATACCCATAGAAGGACATCTCGTGATACTTCAACTGTTGAAAGCGTGTGCTTCTAAAAAGAACAGAACACACTGTGCAATGAGGGCGAAATGCAGTTACATTACCTATTTCAAGCATCTACACGATGCCTAAGTTAGACATATTTAGAAATTATTCGTTCGTCATATATAGGTTCCCAATTTAAAATTTCCACCATAATAAAGATACTACCATGAAAGGGCATAGCGGTATAAGTTTAACATGAGCATATTTGCTATATAAAAACCACAGCACACATATTGGATTTGTAATGGAAGCGTGTTACTTTGGAACTAGTACATTGATTTAAGTCCTGGTTTTGTGATAGTTTCGAATTATGTGAACTTTACTTATGAAATAAATATAGTTTGCTTTCTGCAAACTAATATCAGTAAATATTAGTAGCTCAGTTACTGTGGCGCAAGAGAAGGAAATAAACATCATTCGATTGGAAACCTAAAGAAACTATCTAAAAAAATATACAAGCAAAGTAGTATTGCTCACTTGAAATTTTTTGCTAATGATTTATCTCTTCGCATTTCAATATTTTTCCCTCACTGATTTGAAAAAAAATTTATGATACTTAGTTATGTCATGCATACGTCAAACCAATGGCAGAGACAGGTTCTCAACCCGGTGGGATCAAAATACATAAATATGTAACCATGTGGGATCAATCCATACAAAATTTCATTGTTTTATGTACTTTTTTTGCTAGTTTTCACATGGTCAAGGTGTATCTTGCAAAAACATGTGGGGTTAGCCGACGCCACAATTTTACTCTGGCCCTGCCATTGCGTCAAACCAATCGCAAGAAATGTGCGTTCAGGAATTAAAATATGTGTTATTAGTTATTGAGCATCCATAATCAGAGGTCACGTTTATGACGAAAAATGGTTGAAAAAAAATCATGAAATAGTTTGTGTGAGTTATTGGACACCTCCTACAAATTCTAAGTACATGCAAATTATTGGTGTGTCATAAGTGTAACATTTTTAATGTGCATGCTGGTTTCGAACCCTTGCCTTTGGGCATAAGAGTAAAGTTTGCCGTTCGTCAATCACAAGCGTCCATTTTATACCTACGATTAGATTTTGCTGGCCCGTGCATGCCTCCTAACATTCATCTTAAGAGAAAATTAGTTGAATTTCCCACGCAAAAGCTAAGATAGAATTATTTTTTGCCATGCAACGTCTCTAGTTTAAAAACACAATTGTACTATTCCCAATAATTTGTACTACACCTTATCAATCTACCGGTATAATTCGATCCCACATCACAATGAATATTTCAGATATGGTAGTAAATTTTAGCCCTTATTGGATGAGATCAATTATCTATTAAATATAGACTAATAAAAAATATAATTCTACTTTCAAAACTACCCTTGTATGCCATGTGTTCTTTATTCTACTGGTACAAGACGGAGAGCCTAAGATAGAGACAAGAATCAAATTCTTTTATTATTTTTTTCTCCGGCGAAAAATCAAATCCTTATTCTTTTCTTTTCTTTTCTTTTTTCCTTTCCCATCCACTACGTGTTGAGCTTGATCAAGCTTCTCTGACGTAGAAAAAGAGGGAGATGCCAAGATAGAGACAGATATCAAAGTCCAATGCGGCAATGCCCCCCTCCATTAATCTGCGAAAAAAACCTGAAAAGTACAAAGCAAACCACCCTCCGAATCCTACCTTCTCCTTCCTGGAGAGGAAGGAAGAGAGATAATCGGAGCATATGATGAGGAGATGGTGGTAGCAGGAGCAGTGGTTGGCGGCTTGGCGCGGCCACAGAGGCATCCCATTCCCACGCGGCCTCGCCCAAGAATCCTCCTCTCCGGCCTCGACGCATGCTCCTGTTTTTGGAAGGAAACGAAGTGAAGAAAAAGATCAGAAAAGGCAACTAGAATTCCAACAGCCTGTTCATTGTTCTGTGAAAAAGGGGCAGTTCTTTTGCAGTGTGTATCCATTTATTCGCTGTTTCTTTTGGTGGTTTTTTTGGAGGCGGAAAAAAAATTCTGTTCGGGTGCCTGTTCCTGCGTGTTTCGAGGGTTTGCTCAGAGGAAGCAGAGGATCGAAGGGGGAAAGATTGTCTCTCTTTCTTTTTTTTTTCGCATTTGGGTTCTGAGATTGTTCCGCAACAGGGACCTTTCTTGCCTGTGAGATTCTGAATCGCCCGAGGCTGGAAAGATTGAAACTTCACGGCGAGGTCTGCATGTTTGGCTGAAGACGGAGGGGGATAAAGGAAGCAGAGGGTCGGTCTGATGATGCAGTTCCGCAATCTTCTTTCCTTTTGCGTGTTCAGGTCTTGATGAGATATATTCCTTCCTGTCAAGTTTCTCAATTTTGACGTGAATTCCGAGTCCGGGGCATCTTGAGGAAACCGAGGAAGCACGGCAGATACAAGGGTTTCTGTTGGGGCTATCGGATCATTTCTCATCTGTTTCTGCTTATCTTCTCTTGGTTTCGCGATTGCTCGAGATTCAAAGATTGGGTTTTGATTGTCTGGAGATTGAAGAAGCTAGTACCATTGTTGGGTACTTGGGTTCACGGCTCAAGGGTCAAAGAAAAGGGGCAGACATGGCTGTTCAGATGATTTAGCAGGTCATTGTGTAGGAACAGTTGTCAGGCGCCACCTTGCTTTTTCCTGTATTCATCTGGTCTGGGTTCTTCGAACTAAGGTAACATAAGCATTACCCAATATCAACCTTTTGTTCATCTGGGTGATTGTGTTATACTGTGGTTGACATACTCCAATAGGGATTACTGAGCTGTTTTAGGCATTAGCCAGCGCCTGCAGATACTATACAATGCAATTTGGACATTTAGTAGCCGTTCTTTGCATATGGGGAAGTGGAACTATTCTTAATCCTAGGATTCTGGGTTCACCGACAGGACAACTGTTCCTTTCTTGACAAGGAAAAGAGAGGAAATAACTTTCAAATCTTCAGAGTTTCGTCATTTGGCATTTTTGCCTCTTTGTATGGCCACAAGAAGTTTTTGTCTCTCTAATTTAATTAGGTTTCATTAAATTCTTATAGCATGTTTCTCGTTAGAAAGCAATTAGATGTAATGCCGTAATGCGGTGAACTTTACATGTTTGCATTTGTGGGGTCCAATGTGGTTTCTGTCTCTTCTTTCTTTCAAATTTTACCTCTCTTTTTTTTTTTACTTTGGTTTTACAATTAGTCTTGGACAACTGTATTAGTTATGTAAGTAGATTCTGCAACCATTCAGAAGTTGGTAAGAGATCATGACCAACTATGAGTAGTTGATAGGGTGGAAGCTCTTTCGCCATTTGCATGTCTAATTTGTACTGTTTACCAATTCTAACATGGTTTTCTATGTTTTGATATTCAGGTTGTAAACTTGCCTGGTGATTAAACGAATCTGTCTGACAATGTTCTCCTCTATCATGGCAAAGAAGAGTTACAAACAGCGGTGCAAATCTGAGAAGGTCCATATGGGCTGTATGTCGGGCCTCATCCACATGTTTGACTTCCGTCGCAGTCCAAAACTTATTTCAGATGGGACGATTAGGAGGAGTTCAGGTGAGGAATTTAAGTGGAATGCAATGTCATCTGAACAAAAAGAATGATGTAAGCTGCAGTGTAATGATATTGCTTATGATAAATTCTGTGCTTCATGCAGTCAGAAGTGACCTGAAAGGTTCTGAAGATTTCCATGGAATCATCTTTTCTGATGTAAGTCATCCATATATACCTATTTCATCTGTTTTTTGTATCTGAAAGTTCAAAGTCACATGTCTGTTTCACAGAGACAAAAAACATGCGTTTGCGCTAGCAAAACTGATTAGAAAGGAAACAAAGACTGAAGTTTAGTTCCCAAATTTAACTTACTGTTGCTTTTTACTTGTTGGACAATTTGTTTTTCATCATTATGTTACTTGTTCTACAAGTGTACAGTGTTACAATTGCTTGATTCCTATGGGCAAAATGTTGATTGTCATCAACATTCTTGAATACTTGTAATGTTGATGTACTAATAACAGATGCTTCTGCTGGCAACTGGAGTAAATAGTACTGTTAAAGCATTGATATGAAAAGCTTTAGTATATGTACAAAGCTTTTCAAGACATTTTTACGAATATTTAAGTGTGATTAGCTGAATTACCTACAGAATCTCATGGCTGGATTTGAAAACAACTGTATTTTCTATGAGACTCGAGTGCCACCGATTGAAACATATAGTAACATATTCACTTTGTTTTAGCAATTGCAAACAGCTTTATTAGCTTTTATTATATTACAGATGAAATAGTTTCTATTGCCAAATATATTAATTAGAATTCTCACAGAAAAGGTTACAAATAAAAAATATTTGTCGTATTAGTTTTATGGAGGATTAAATATGCATAAGTATTTGTATCCAGAAATATTTGTAGGCATTTGAAGATAACATCTGAATATAGAAAACCAAATTTATTTGCTTGTCAGGAGGACAAAGACTATGGGGTTAAAACAATTCATGCCAGCAGGCCAAGTATTAAAGCACTGATGGAAGAAGAGATGGCCAGTGGAACGCAGATCTTGAAGGAAACACAAAGGAACATATTTGGGATACGTTCTGATGATTTGAAGTCTGTGAACCTGCAGGAAGGATCTGATGTTGACCTAGACTTGGCTACAAGTCTCATGGAATTATACAGAAATCATAATGGCAGTCGCGATATTATCACTTCGGAAGTATCAGATCACTCTTCCAGTTTGATTGACAAAGAGCACAATACTGATGCTAGTACTCATCCTAAACAAATCTCCTGTAGTATAGAGAAAGCACTTGAAGCTGTGGCTGAAGCAGTAATAACCCATCAATCTGCAAACGGGAAATACACAAGCAGCAGCTACGAAGCTAGGCCCAATGAATTTCTTGATGCATTACAATTGCTGAGCGCAAACGAAGAGTTCTTTCTGATGCTTCTGAAAGACCCAAGCTCTAGGATGTTGCAATGCCTGCAGAACCTGTACACGGCACTAGGAAATCCCATGTTAGAACTGGCAGAAGATGACAAACAAACAAAGTCGAAAGTTACCATTAACAGTCTAGAGCAGTCTGAGGTTTCGAAATACAGCGTGCAAAAAACACATAATTTTTTCTTGAAGGAGGATAAGCTAGTCATGAGGAGACCACCAAAACTGAATGATAGTCCTCGTGGCGTTAGCAGAATAGTAATATTGAAGCCAAGTCCTGGAAGAAGTCAGACTAGTCTGATTTCAAGTAGTGCAATGTCGTCACCAGTACAAACTCGTGCTGATTTGCAAGGTCAGGAACAAAGTGACAAATATGCTCGCCATTTCTCACTTAGAGAGCTTAAAAGGAGGCTAAGGCTTGCCATTAGTAACAATCGAAAGGATGTCATGAGTAGTACTTTCCAGAAAGATGATTCAACACAACAGTTCATTCTCGAGAGTATGTCGACAAGTATGGACTCTTCTGAATGTGAAAAGGCTGAGAAACCCTCAATAGTTGACAAGAAAACAATCCCTGAAGATAGTGGAAGTGGCATGGGGAATGATGCCACTCATTGTGCTAGCTCTTTCTTCTACGAAAAAGCTAAGAAGCATCTAATCGAGAGGCTAGACAATCAAAAGAATGACACTTCTCAGATCGTACACAAATCAGAACCCTTTGGGAAATTACTTTCATATTCGGAGAATGATACGTTTTCTCAAACTGATTGTCCTCAAGAGGATGTTAAACTGTCAGAGGATTCGACTGCTTCATCAGCATTACTGACGACTGAACAAGAGGATATTTCATCAAATTCTGACCCACCAATGAAGTTTGGGGAGCTAATACCATTGGACACCAGCACATCGGCTAACACACAGCTGGATGAATTTAAGACAGACCATGCCAGTCATCCAGTCAAAGAGGGCACTATCTCGCAGGAGTTAACTAGTGAAGGTATATTGTTGTCCTCCTGTTTATCTTTTTAGTTTTCTACTTCCTTGTTTTCATCTAATATATACACCAAATGTTTGCAGGGATTGACAGCATGAATGATGCAACAGATACCCCCCAAGTCTCTATTCAGATCGAAACTTCAACTGAAAGCTTGGAACAAATAAATACCGACCAAGTAAGCCATATGTTTTTGCAAATTGTACAAAAAGTTAAGTTAGTAATTAATTTTGCGTCTAACTTTTCTTTTACTCCCCCGTGTTGAAGTGCTTCGCAGAAGAGTCACAAACCATGAATGCATTACCAGAAGTATCCCTGCACACTCCAGAAAAAGTTAACGAGCAATTCAATCATAGTCCATCGGCAGTTGTTGGATTAACCAAGCCATCCATCTTGACATTTTCTTGCTCCCCGGAGAATGCAGATGACAAAGAGGAGAGACTGAGCCCTCAATCTGTTCTAGATTCTTTCCTGGGAGATGGTATCAGCCCCAGCCACAAAACTCGAACGCAAGGTATTGAATTCAAAATAAGAACTTCCCCTTTTGAATTTCCCTTTTTTAAGATAGTGGAAGTACCCTTTTGTATTTTCTTGAAAAATCCATGGTAAAGTAGCACAATTTTATTGTGCTTTATGCAGATGAATTGTCCATGCCAAGCACAAGGATTCTGTTTAAAGAGGATGACACTCCCTCGGGAACCCCAACTTTGCAAAACACACCACAAGAAGCTATTTTGGATGATAAACAGGCAAGGCTTTCCTTCATAAAGGTTGTGCTTGAGGCTTCAGACTTCTTGTCTGAGGAAAGTTCAGAGATATGGTATGTGGACGGATCACTGCTTGACACATCTGTATTGGCTGAAGTAGGAACTTTGTACTGCCTGACAGACGATGCGGTGTTTCTCTTTGATTGTGTGGAAGAAGCTCTTTGCAAGATCAGGGATAACTTTTTTGGTTGTGACCCTTGGGTAGCTTATCTGAAACACAGTGTGAGGCCAGCTCCGGTAGGAACAGGGCTCATTCAAGAGGTGGATAATTGCATCGATTCTCTTGTCAGTGATGAGGTTCCAAGTACATTAGATCGGGTGGTGCTGAAAGACCTGGAGAGTGGATCATGGATGGACCTTCGGGTTGATACTGAAGAAGTTGCTATAGAGGTGTGGGATACTTTGCTTGATGATTTACTGGAGGAAATGGTGTTTGACTTGTGGCTTTAAGATTGTTTTGTTGCCATCCGATGGAAACTGATAGAGTTTATAGTTCGGCACTTCGGCAGGATTTTATTCACCAAAAACCATAGTACAAAAAGCTTTGAAAAAGTGAGTGTGACAGATTTAAACAGAGTGTATACAGCGCAGTAGAGTTAGGCTTGCCTGACTGTTTGCATCATACTATAAATCTTGACTATATGTGGCTCCTAACACTAGGAATTTTTCTTCTTATTAATGCTTCTTCTATCATTTCTGTTCTCTGTACAGGTGTGAAAGTAGGAAGAATAAGTTCAGTTGTATATGTACTGCCTAATTATAGTTTTTTTTTTCCTCATGAAAGTAAAACAATTTCCCTTGTTTATCAGATACACCATAGTGCTGCTCCATTTTAAGCATTGCTTGCATATACTCTGGTGAATCATCTCAGCTGTCATCACAGTTGGTAAGTACCAATTGTGATCACACTCATGGCAGACAATTGAAGGGACCCTCGCAATGAAAGTATGAAACACCCAAACATTGCTTGCTACTACTTGCTAGCTTAGCTAGGCCAATAGAGTACTGTGCTTTCCTTGTGCTAGTATCTTCCATTAGTCCTACATGGCTACATTCTAGTATTGGCATAATGTACATATTGTGGGATTTGGCCATGGACCCTTATATTTTGATATCCCGGACCAAGGCAAGGCAGGATGAACAAATGATGATGATCATCAGATCTTCCTTGCAGACTCATCGGCGAAAAGAACGTCGTCTATACACGTCACTATGTTGTAAGCCAGGCTCTCCAGCACCCTGGAGTAGCCCTCCAGGATGGCTTGCCCAACGTCCTGCACGGAGAACAGCAGCAGCAGCAGCTTCGTGTTAGTGTTCGTCCATGGCGATGATGTCGCGACACGTCGTTGCTGGTGATGGGTTGGTGTGGTTACCTTGTTGTACTGGATCTTGCTGGCGTCCAGGGTGGTCTGGGAGAGGCCGGGGAAGCGCTGCTTGAGGCAGAGCAGGACGTCGCCGGCGCGGCTCGCCAGCATCACGTTCTTGTCGGACTCCATGAGCTCCTTGACGGCGCTCCACGGCGACCTGGAGTGCCCCTGGCTCGCCTTCCGCCGCCACACGTGCATCGCCGCCTCGACGCGGTCGGCCGCCTCGAGGGCGTCGTGCTCCGACGAGATCTCCAGCCGGTCCAGGAGGTACTCCGGCGAGAACTTGCCCGGGAACGACATGTGCCGGTAGATCAGGTCGCCCACGCTCGCCCGCCCGCACTGCACAGGATCAGAATTCAGATTCTTGGGAGAAATCCTCGAATTGGAAGATTTGAAGCTCTTGTATCGAGAAAGAGAAGGGGGGAGAGAGAGAGAGAGAGAGAGAGATTTTTGATGTTGCTGTACCTTGGGAAGCGTTTGCTTGTACAGCTCAGGGATGCGAATCTCCGCAAGAACGCCATTGTTGATGGCCATGGCCGCCTTGTGGATCTGGCTCGCACAGTCGTGCTTCTGCCGCAGGTCTCTCCGCGCCGACTCCGTCAGCCCGGGCTTGGTGACGCACGGCACGGGCAGCCACCACTTGTCACCGTCGCGGTGGCTCACCGGACGGCACGGCGCCGCGGCGGCGGCGGCGCAGCTATCCTTCTGACCCTTGTCGTTCACGTACCAGAATTCAGTCTTCTGGAAGCTGTCCAGAATCTCCTGCACGGCAACAAGCAAAGCAATTTCACGATGAACAAGAAGCCAATCCATGGAGTCATGGAGATGAACATAGCGCGAGCAGAATCGGGTCTTACGAGAAGCATGTCGTCGAGCTTCTCGAGGGCGGGGAGGTTGACGTAGATGTCGGACCTCGGCCTGGTCGCCATCACCTGAGACGAAAGAGGCGGGAATGCGTCCATGGATTAGTGACGCGCAAGAGAGCTTTTGCCTTGAAGAACATGGACGAACACCTGCAAATTCTCACCTCCCGCACGGTGCCGTCGGGCATGATCTCCTTGGAAGGGAAGAGCTCGACGATGTAGTCGCACACCGAGAGGAGGCAGTCCATCTCCCGCCGCCACATCGACCTCTTCTCCGCCAGCAGGGGCTCCAGCCGGTGGCAGCCGCCGAACACGGTCGCTGCGAACAGAGGAAGCAACAGATTGACATTGAGCACGCTCGTGTTCTACTCTGTTCCTAGCTGCCGCTGAAGATTTCATCTCTGAAAACGAGATTACGCGTACCGACCATAGAGGTTGGTGATGGCATTGGAGATGGCGACGGCGGTGGAGACCCCCTTGCCGCTCCCGGACATGTCCTCGCCGAGCAGAAGCTTCGAGAACCTCTCCTTGATCAGCTGCAACTCTGCCAATTCAACCCATCTATAGCGCATTAGGGAGAATATCCAAGCCAAGAAAGCAGCAGAGATCTTTGCCAGCCTCAATGCGGGTGGTAGGAGGACGTACCGCCGTCGCCGGCCTTGCGGTCACGGCCCGCGCCGCGCCGCGCCGCGCCGAGCTTCTGCAGCAGCGGCGGCGGCGGCGCCTTCGCTATGCTGCACACGGGCCACCGCGGGTACGGCGAACCGTACGGGCTCCCGGGCTCGCCGCTGCACTCGGACGACACGTCCGACGAGGCCTCCCGCCGGTGGCGGCCGCGCCGCCGCTCCACGTCGTCGATGTCCCCGTAGTCGTCGCGCGCGTCGACCTCCGAGCTCTCGTCGCACGTCGTCGACGGCGTGTCCATCCTCGCATCGACCGATCGGCACACCGAGTGCGCTCGCGGTGGCGAGGCAGAGGCCGCAGGCAAGCGAGTGCGCTGCTGCGCTGGGTGCAGTGGAGAGTCAGCGGCTGTCGACTGCGGAAGAAGTGGCCGGCAAGGGGAGAAGCGTACTACGTCGTGCCGTGGCGTGGCGTGGCGTGGCGTGGTGAGGCCCCACGATGACGGCGATGAGGTAAACGGGTCGGGCGCGCTTTATGCCAAGAAAAGAGTGCGATTCCTCCCCCTCGCTTTCCACGATGCCCCCCCCCCCCCCCCCCCTCCTTTTCGCGCGTAAATTCCCTTCGAAAATGCGTAAACACCGAAAAGAAATGTGCACTGCAGTGCAGATCACTGCACTCCCTGACGCTAATACCAGAAGCACTGAAGCAGCAGAATTTTTACAGAGCTCTGCCGACAGATGATCATACTCCTACTAATGACGCTGCAAGCACACACTAATGACAAAATCGACGCCACCATTTGTCTCCCTTAACCAGCGCAGCTACTTAGAGCAAGTTTAATATTATAATCAATTATTGGCTTCAAATTATCTATAATCGATTAAATAGCCAATTCATACGATTACCTATAAACATATACTATATAATTGTTTGGTCCCACATATTATACACGTATATATTTTGGAGCTTGTGCTATAGCTGGCTATAAATTTAAAGCTCGTTACTTTTCTCTTTTCTCTTTTATCTTTTTTAAGTATGTTTATTAGCGGGCTCATAGTCTGCTATTGTACTGCTCTTAGTAGTACGGTACTTGTCACTAAGCTAATTATGCCTGCCGGCTCACCAATGGCTGAACAAAGCATGGGGACTCAACACTAATCCTGGCGCTTTGAGCAGCAGCACGCGTTCGTCTCGCAGCTAAACTAAACACAGCCATGTGGCCGCGCGGGGGCAAGGATTAGATAGCACGGATGTCATGTCACTCACAAGCGGGCCTCCTCCTTTATCTGACACAAAGTGGCGAGCATGCCGGTCAGAATAATGGCGACATTACGGACGGCAAAGGCGAGGTGAAGGCCCCCCCCCCCCCCCCCTTCCGTCTCCGGCTCCGGTGCCTTTCCGATCATGACACCGGCAGTTGCTTGCCCCGAGGAGGTGAGTTGCCCGATCGAATTGCCCTCGCAAAGTCTCCATTTTACTGCCACTTTTGCATCTCCGTCTCCATTGAAAACCTTCTTTCCTGTTACTGCACTCTCTCTTGCAGATAACTCAGGAGATCTCTGCGTAATTCAGGAGTACAAGTGTTACAGCGAAGCAGGCAGGGTATTTCTTGGTTGTCACAAGCTGTAACAGGGGAGTAGTGGGGAGAGTTCATGCAGAGGAGAGGACGAATAAAGCAGAGTTTTTTTTTTTTAGCTTGGTCTGCTTGGGGTGTGCTCGGCTGGTGAGCTTAATTAGCTCGAGGAGGTTAGGATAGTTTAGGATTATCGTAAGCACGCTTATGCCAACTCTTGATTGGGCTGTATGGCGCATGATGAGCCTACGATATAGCGCCACGTGCCTATGGTCGTTAGCTGCTAATGACATGCGTGTGTGTGTGCTAATGAAATGGAATGAAATGTGTGCTCAACTTTGGCTGGCTTTCTCTCTGAATTGTGCTGTCTGTTTGTGGAACCTAGTAGTAGGTTGTAGATAAACTTGATTAGGCAGGATTGAATTGTTTACTTGTAATATATGTTTACAACTTAAAATTCCTACTGATCAGGCATGGAAATGATCCGATGAAAAATCAAAAACATCATCCTTTGATGTACTTTATAATGATTCCTGGGCAGAGCTTTACTTTAGCCTTTTCACCTAAACAATATTGAGTGTTCAAAAAAAAACTCACTAACTTAATTTAAAAAAGACAAACTTACTTGCAAATTAAACCACACAAATTATATCATTAAATCTAGAATAAGTAGTTGGGTAAGTGGATACAGTCACGTTAGTCGATCCATTTGTAATACACAAAAGGCTACATGTGTGAAGTTCGACATTTATCTTGCTTAATTATAGTAGTCGTGGCAAGGTTTAATTTAATTTGCAAGCATGCCGACACATATAATCAGACTTAGATCTAAGTTTTCATTATAAAATAAATAACAATAACAATAATGTACTGTCTATCCATGTCAGGAGAAATCCTGATGTCACATGTGTGGTAATGTGGTTGAGATTTCTATCTAAAATATTTGGGTCTCGATCTGCCCTGTGAAGTGCACACACACAATCATATTTGTATGTAATTACATAGCTGAGATGAGATGACAGGATGAAAGATACCATGCACCATGGGTATGACTGCGTGGAGCGTGGATTCCATGATTAGTTCTCAATCTTATTATTAGTATTCTGGGGAGGTATTCATGTTTTCTTGTTATTCGTTAGTACAAGCCTTGCTAAACTTAAAGTAGAGTTCAGATCGAAAAGGCATAGACGTATGATAGGGCGCCCACATGTGTATGAGCGTAAGTTTAGTGTGTGTGCATTGTTCGGAAACTATAGGCAAACAAACGATAAAAAATAATAAATAATAGATCAATCACAAAAAGACACGAGATTTAACGTGGAAAACTCTCTCAAAGCAGGAGAGAAAAAACCACAGGCGCTAGCCAGCAAAATATCTTCACTATATCAGGGTAAGGTTACAACGCC